AGTTATATTGCCCGCCCGGCAGCGGGGGAGGGAGGGAGAGCCAGCCAGCCCGTTCAGTCCCAATGGGGGGGAAGAAAGTCTGCATCGTGGGCTCCGGCAACTGGTGCGTTTGGGGGACGGGACGGGACGGGACGAGACGGGGCGTTTGGGGCAGCGTCGGGCTGGGCGAGGGAGGCCAGAAGGAGCGCCCGCCGGGCAGGGCAGGGGATTCTTCTTGTTCCGCAGGTTTTTAAACGGATAGCCAAAAAAAAAGGGGGGGGGACACAACGAAGCGCCCTGTGTCGTCAGTCAGCGTCGAGCCGCAGGTTTTTCAAAGTGCCTCGTGTGGGACAAGGGTGGGTGGAAAGGGGTCCCGGCCTCCAGCGCCCTCAAAGTCGCCGAGGGAGGAAAGAAGCATCGCCTGCCTCTGAGGAAGAGGGCTTTAGCCCGCAGGAGCCGATGCTGCGCTTCCTCGGCCCGCCTTCAGGGTGCCGCAAGGCTCCCTCCTTGTCCGCGTCGTTTTTGCTGCAGCGAAACGGACGCGGCTGGTGCTCGGCGGGAGACTGGCGCGCTCGTCTGGCGCCGAGTCGTGCCTGACACGCTCCCACGACCGCTCTTTCCCTTTCGTGGCCCGCCGTGGGACGGTCTCCCCGCAAGGGCGGCTCGCGGGCTCCCTTTCGCCCGGGGGGAGGGTGGGATCGCCCGCCTCCTTGGCTCCGGGCCCACCCGGCCCGAAGCGACTTGATCTCCTCCCTCGCCGCGCTTGGCATTCTTCGTGCAGCGCTTGGGGAACTGGGGGGGGGGGGCGGGCAAGAACCGCCGGAGTCCTGGACGCCTCTCTTTCGGGCACTTCTTTCCTCCTCACCCGCCTCTGAAGAGGCGTTTGGCGGGGGACGACCCACCGCAAACTCGGGCCTCCCTGCCAAACTCCCATGATTATCCCAGCCATCCCGATCGGCCTCGTAGGATGGGGATGATGGGCTTCCTATTGAAACGCCTCCGGAAGGCTCTGGCTTGGAGGAAGGCTGTGCCGACTCTTGATGGGCAGCCCCGGAGAGCTGTCTTTCAGCACCAAGGCTCCTCTGTGGCGGCAGGGGATCCCTCTGAACATGTGCAGAGCCCCATGAGCTGCCGCAATGTTTTTTTCATGCGGCAGAAAGATTTCCGTGGGCGACACGCCAGGCTGCCTCTCTGTGTTTCATCCTTGCGTGGGGGACCCACGGATGCCCCAGGTGGGTGGGTGGGTGAGTCTCCACGTCTTTGCCTGCAGATCTTTAGCGACCTCTCCCCACGCCCCATTACTTATTCCTTTCTGGTAGATGAGTAATTTTTAAAATAATTATTCTGCTGGAGTTTTCTAAGGTTTTTCAAAAGGCTGGTGTGTCAAGTCTTCTGCAAACATAAAAATAAAAACTGAATGCCTTGCATGCAGTAATACTGCCAGGCTCAAAAACGACAGGAAGTCTTTTGTGCTACCATAAACACCAAGTGAATTTCTTACGGTTTAAGCTGTTAGGGACTAGAATCCACCAGATGCAAACTTTAATATTTCATTTATCTGGTGAAGTGGGCTCTTGTTCATAAAAGCTTATCATTATAAACGTGTCAGTCTTTAAGACAGCCCAAGATTCAGTTTGTTTGTTTTTTTAAAAAAATAAGGTTGATAAGGATATCACACTCTTGGGTGAAACAAGAGGAGAGGGAGGGAAAGTAAAACCTCTTTGAATTTTCAAGGCATAGCATTTACATTCAAAAAAAAAAGCAGGGCTTCATAAAGCAAATAAGGAGACCCTGTGGGAAGACAGGAGAGTGGCTGAAGCTTAGCCAGAGTTATTGAACCCGCACCCTACAAAAAGGAGAGAAGAGTAGTTGTAGGTGGAGGCTCCCTCCTGAATAGGATGGAAATTGAAATAAGCCAGGCAGATCCACAGATCCACCAGGTATGCTGGCTCCCTGGAGGACAGCTTAGGAATGTGACAGAAGTTTCAGTTACATTGCCATAGCTCATAAAACCCACAAATCCATACCCCTTTCCTCTCACCCATGTGGGAACAAAGGACACCGCCAAGAGGAACTACAAAGAAACCACAACAGACTTTGAAACTCTGGGAAGGAAGGCCAAGGACGTTTGGGACCCAGATAGTCCTCTCATCGATCCTATTAGTACTCAGAAGAGGAATCATAAAGGAAAGGAAAAGACTCCTGATGAATGACTGTCTACAAAGGCAGGCAGCCAACATGAGGGACTGGGATTTTGGGACCATGAACGATGTTTTCTGCTGGTGAGTGATGCCCTGCACCTCACAAGGACTGGGAAGAATGTGTCTAGCTACAACATGAAGAACTTCATCGGGAGGATTTTAAATTGAATTGGAAAAGGGAGGGAGACACAAACTCAGAGGTAAAGATAGATCAAAGCTTATGTACGGAAAGAGGCACAGATCAAGCACTTCAAGCAAGGCCCAATAATAATCTTCAAAAAATATGTAAAATAAAGCAGGCTATAAATCACACAATCTCTGGTGTCTGTACGCGAATGCCAGAAGTATAGGAAACAAACAAGAAGAACTGGAAATCCTAGTTCAGGAGGGTAAATATACTTGAAAGGGATAACTGAAACTTGGTGGGATGATTCTCCTGACTGGAATACAGCAACTGAAGGATATATATTATTCAAAAAGAACAGAAAGAACAGGAAGGGAAGTGGAGTTGCAGTACACAGTATCTCAAAAATGCATATTTTTGCAGAGAAAGACAGGAGGATAGCTTGGTTGTCCCATCATCAACAGCATCTGGACTAACATAATTGAGATGAAAAAGAAAAGGAGTATTGGAGTAGCAGTTGGAGTCTACTACCAATTGCCCAATCAAGAAGAAGTTGCTGATGAAACCTTCAGAAAAAATTAGGAATAATTTCAAAGAGATACGATGTAGAAGTAATGGGAGATTTCAATTACCCTGATGCCCTTTGGGAGACAAATTCTGCCAAATATGGCCCTTCCAAGAAATTCTTGGTTTGTATGGCTAATTATTTTCTCCTATAAAAAGTAGAGGAAGAAACTAGAGGATTCACTATCTTGGGCTTGATTCTGACCAATAGAGATGACTTTGTGGAGAAAGCAAGAGTGACTATGTTCTACTTGAGTTTGATTTCAAAGGAAACAAACCTAAAGTGTAGCCCCATAAGTATGCTGGATTTTAGGAAAGGTAATTTTAATAATATCAAAACAATGATAAGCAAGGTCTCATGGCATGAAATCCTAACAGGAAAAGGGGTCCAAGATGGGTGGGAGCTTCTTAAAAAGGAAAATCTAAAGGCACAACTACAAACAATTCCAACAAGAAAAAACATTGAAAGACAGCAAAAAGACCAATGTGGCTTCACAAAAAGCTCAGATAGGGTCTGAAAATGAAAAAATGACACATATAGGAAATGAAAGGAAGGCCAGGCCACAAAGGCAGAGTACAGACAGGTAGCAAAGAATCACAGAGATGGCATTAGGAAGGCAAACACTGAGAATGAGCCAGTTAGCAAAAGATGCTAAAAGTAACAAAAAAGCATTCTTCAAATATGAACATGTGTAGCAAAAGACAGAGAAAAGAAACAGTGGCTCAACTGCTCAATGGGGATGGAAAATGATAACAGACAACAAAGAAAAGGCAGAGGCGCTCAATTTCACCTTCAGCTCAGTCTTTTCCAAAAGACAGTCTATAACCCTCTAGGCAACTGTGAAGTACAACTGGACAGGACATGATTGCAGCTTGAAATGGATAAACAGATATCCAAGGAATACCTCATTAGTTTGAATGAGTTCAGATGAACTGCATCCAAGAGTATTGAAGGAACTGCCCTCAGAACCCTCAGAACCCTAATATTTTCTTGAAATCATGGAGGATGGGTGAAGTGCCAGATGACTGGAGGAGGACTAATGTTGTCCCTATCTTTGAAACACGGAGGAACCTGAGAACTAATATTTTCTTGAAATCATGGAGGATGGGTGAAGTGCCAGATGACTGGAGGAGGACTAACGTTGTCCCTATCTTTGAAACATGGAGGAACCTGAGAACTACAGACCAGTCAGCCTATCATGAATCTCAGGGAAAATTCTGATGCAGATTATAAAGTGGTCACTCTGCAGGCACTTTGGAACAAATGCAGTAATAATTAGAAATCAGCACAAATTTATCAAGAACAAATATTTCCAGACTCATCTTATTCTTTTGACTGGGTAATCTCTTTGGTAGATGATGGGAATGCTATAGATGTAATATATCTTGACTTCAGCAAAGCTTTCATTGAAGTGCCCCATGATATTCTGATTAGCAAACTAACTGCTTGTGGGTTAGACAGAATAAATGTCAGGTGAATACATAGTTCTTGACTTCAGCAAAGCTTTCATTGAAGTGCCCCACGATCTTCTGATTAGCAAGCTAACTGCTTGTGGGTTAGATAGAATAACTGTCAGGTGAATACATAGTTTGTTACAGAATTGTATTTGGAGAGCATTTTTCAATGGCTCCTTCTCAAACTGGGAGGAAGTTAAAAGTGGGCTATCACAAGGCTCAGTCCTGGGCCCAGTGCTCTTCAACCTTTTTATTAATCACTTTGATAACCAGTGAAAATTTGCATATGACACAAAAATTGGGTGGAATAGCTAATAGCCTGGAAGACAAAAGCAAGGATCAAGCACTGGGCTGAAAAGCTATAGAATGAAATTTAACAGGGGCAAGTGCAAAGTTTATTAATACTATGAGAAGGATCTTAGAAATTTTGTTAAATTTAACAGGGGCAAGTGCAAAGTTTAGTAATACTATGAGAAGGATCTTGGAAATTCTGTTGATCACAAACTGAATATAATCTTAGCAGTGCAATGTGGCTACAGAAAAGGCAAATGCTATTTTACGTTGCGGAAAGAGGAGTATAGTCTCCAATCCCACGCGGTACTCGTTCCCCTCTATTCAGAACTGGTTAGGTCTCACCTTGAGTGCTTTGTCCAGTACTGGACACCACACTTTAAGAAGGAGTCGGACAAACTGGAACAAGTTTGGAGAAAGGCAACAAGGATGATGAGCAGACTGAAAACGAAACCCTATGTTCAACCTTGAGAAAAGAAAAACAAGGGAAGATAGTGTTCTTTTCAAATATTTGAAAGATTGTCTCACAGAGCAAGGACAAGTTCTGTCCTCAGCCACCCAGATTGCAGGACATGTAATAATGAGCTGAAGTTTACAGGAAGCCAGATTTCAGGTCAATATCAGGAAAAGCCTCTTAACTATTAGAGCAGTATGACAACTACTTCAGAAGATGATGAGTGCTTCAATGCTGAAGGCATTCAAGAGAAAATTGGACAACCACCTGGCAGATATCCTTTGATTTGTATTCCTGCCTTGAGCAGGGGGCTGGACTTGATGGGCTTGTAGGACCCTTCCAACTCCATGATTCTGTGACATTCCACTCTGAATTCCCAGTGTGGTGTAGAGCAATGGTCCCCAACCTTGGGCCTCCAGATGTTCTAGGACTTCAACTCCCAGAAATCCTGGCCAGCAGAGGTGGTGGTGAAGGCTTCTGGGAGTTGTAGTTCAATAACATCTGGAGGCCCAACGTTGAGGACCACTGGTGTAGAGGACAGAGTGGCAGACTAGGACTCTAGAGAAAAGGACTCAAATCCCTGCTCAGCCATGGAAACTGACTGGGGGAGTGTCACTGGTAAAACCACTCAAATATCTCCCACCTTGAAAACCCTATTAGGATGGCTATAAGTCAGTTCCGACTTGATAGCATATAGTAAAATGAACACACGCCAACAAAATAGTAGGGGTTCAGGGATACCCCTAAGCAAACTGTTAACACAGAGGTTCTGAATTGCTGGTGTAACCTCTCTCTCCCTCCCTTCCTCCCCCCTCCCTCTTCTTCCCTCTGCAGGGGTTCAGCTATTGCCAAGATCGTGGGTAGCAATGCTGCCAAACTGGACAAGTTCGACACCACTGTCAACATGTGGGTGTTTGAGGAGGAAATTGGTGGCAAGAAACTCACTGAGATCATCAACACGCAGCATGAAAATGTCAAGTATTTGCCGGGCCACAAGCTGCCACCCAATGTGGTGCGTCTTAAGAACCAGGCATGGGAGGTGGTGGGAGGCTCATTGCCATGTTGGAGGGATGGGAATCACCTCTGAGACTGAGGCAAGCCATAGCTTCTCTCTCCATTCCTGCTTTTCCCCAGGCTGACTTTCCAAATATTGTTGGACTACAACACCCATCATCCCTCATCACCCTCAAGGCCTGGGTGATACTGTTGCTCTGCTGTATGAATGCTGCATTTCTACAACTGAGCAGCACACCTTGTAGCCTTCTCTGGGGGAACCAACTGCAGCCCCTTATAGTCACTTGTGGGGTTTTGCAGAACATGGTGGTGTCCTGGAATGCCCAAGGTCTGAAGTCGGCCCTTTCTTGGGAGTTTCCCCCTCCCGGACTCACAACAGGACACAGCACCTCAATGAACCCAGCCCTGCACACGACACAATAAGAATTGAGTGAGAAAGGACTTCCCTTTATTCATATATTTTTTAAAAGAGAAGACGTTCCCAGTCCTAGGCAGTGTTTTTGCCATTTTGTTGCCTCAGGTGCGATATGTGTCGGTGTCCTCTCCCATTTCCTGTATAGAGATTGACTGACTGGGGTGGGCAGTGGTTGGGGGTGCCACCCTCCAGGGGCAAAAAGCTTGTTCAGAGAGCTCAGGGCAGATCATGGGGAAGGCATTATCTGTACTCCAACCAAGAAGAAGAACCTTTTGCCTCAGGCAGGAAATTGTTGCAGGTGGAACAGACGAGGGAACTGCTGCCACCTCTGCCCTCTTTATCTACCACATGAAGTAGTCCCCCTCCCTGCCCCCAATCTATGGGTAGGGCCAGTCCCACTGGGTAGGAATATTTGCACCACTGAGAAAGGGCTAAACTCAGAATAAATCAGTGCCTGGTGTCAGTAATGGATGAGGACAAATAAACTGGAAGTTAATCCAGACAAGACAGAGGTGCACCTGGTCATTCGAAAACCAGATCAAGGAATAGGGATTCAGCCTGTGCAGGATGGGATTGCACTCCCTCTGAAAACACAGGCACACAGCTTGGGGGTGTTCCTCAATTCATCTCTGAGCCTGGATGCCCAGGTTTCAGCAGTGCCTTTGCATGGTTAAAACGAGTGCACCACTTGCATCTATACCTGGAGGGGTCTGATCTGGTCATGGTGATACATGCTTTGGTTACATCCTGGCTGGATTACGGTAGCACCGCCTATGTGGGGCTGCTGATGGAAAGGGTCAGGAAACGGCAGCAGGTCCAAAATGCAGCAGCCAGACTGCTGACTGGTGCTGGTTGCAGGGAACGCAGAACTCCCCTGTTACAGCAGCTCCACTGGCTGCTAATCGTTTTCTGGGCACAATTCAAAGTGCTGGTTTTAAAAGCTCTAGACAGCTTGGATCCAAGCTAGCTCAAAAACTGCATCTCTCTCTATGAGCCTGTCCCAAGCATTAAGATCATAAGGGGAGGCCTTTCTCTCAGTCCCACCACCCTCACAGGTGTGCTTGATGGGGACATGGGAGAGGGCCTTCTCTGTGGCTACTCCCAGACTTTGGAACTCCCTCCCACAGGAGGCCAGGCTGGCCCTATCTTTGCTATTCTTCTGCAAGTGGGCGAAGACCTTACTCTTCAGGCAAGTTTTCCTCTAATGACTGCTGGTCGGAGAGGGGTTTTTAAATGGATTATTGTGCTCTGTTGTTTTAAATGTGTTTTAATATTGGTGTGGGGTTTTTTTAACTGTTTTTAATATAATACTTGTTTAATTCTTTTTAAATATTTGTATTTAGCTTTTGAGTATTGTCTTTTTAATGATGTGAGCTGCCTTGGGTCCCTTTGGGGAGAAAGGCAGGATAGAAATACTTTAAACAAAATAGATAAGTAATATCTTGAGGTATCACCACCACCTTTAAAAAGGACTCCAGTTTGCAAAGATTAACAGACTGAGGTCCCACCAGTTTCAAATGGCAAGACCTTAAATAACTCATATTGGGATGCATGGGGTGACTGAAGAGTGCTTAGATTTGGCTGGAAAATATGCTAAATGCCAAGAATTTGATTGCTTTCACTCCAACACGACTCTGCAGAAAAGGCTTTCATTGCTATTGGAATGTTTCATGTTGCATACATTTTTGGGGGAAGTGGCAGCATCAACTTTATTACCTGAAAATGTGCAGCAACAGAAACGCAGAAGTCTTGGGGGAAAGGGAAGAAGAATTAAACTGAGGAGCAGAAACATGACTGTGGAAGCAGAACACTTGTTTTTTAGAAAAGGGAGTACATTCTGTCTGGAGCAGAGCATGTCTGGTGATAATCTCCAAGCTCCTGCTGAGATCTCCAGGGCAAAGCTACTTGTGCTGTAACTTCTCAGGGAAATGCATGACTCTTCTATGTCTCTCGGGGGCTTGAACATCTGCCTAAAAACGGACTTGTTCCTAGGAGCCAAACCCCGTGGAGTTCCACCTCCAGATCTATTTCCCAGGGCTTCAGCTCTATCCCTAGATGTGTAATGTAGCGGTGCACTATCATATACTCTTATTTTTTGTTCCTATGACTGTCCCTGTGCCTTAAGCAATTTGTAATTGGAGCAGGTGGAGAAATGAGGCATGAGTGGGAAAGGCAGAAGGGTAAAAATGTGAGGTGGAGGCACGGACGTCTGCAAGGGGTGTGTGTGCAAAGAAGTCTATCCTCTCCCCTGCTGGGATCCTGTCAAAATATATTATTTTCATGTACCCAGACTCAGCCACTGTGTCGTAATGATCCACACAAACGATGCTAATATGCCACTATACAGGGAACTTTGCCCTGTTCTCTGAAGAAAATTCTTGTATTATATTAAAAACAGTTAAAAATTCTTGGATGAGGAGGGGACAAGAGGCAAGTGTAGAAGCCAGGAGAAAATATGGCAGCAGAACTAGTGTGGCAGAGCACCAAAACTGGGAGAATTGGGGTCAGCTGATGTCTCTCAAGCTGATCTAATTTATGTGGCTGTTGTGAGGATGGAGCGAATCCCATATATTGCCCTGGGCTCCATGAAAGAACAGTGGGAATAAAACCTAGGATGCCACTATAGAATATAAAAATGTGCCCTATGAAGTTGCACCTGGGAAGTCCAATTTCCCAGGGTTATTCAATGCAGCTGACCACACGGGACTCAGCTTTGCCCATCCAGATTTGCAGGAGGCACAGTTAAAGCAGAGCTGCCTTAAGAAGCCAGAAGCAAGAGGAGGCACAGTTAGAGCAGAGCTACCTTAAGAAGCCGGAAGCAAGGCTGATTTATACTTTCATCCTCTCCCTCTGCTGATTCCTTGCTCTTCCCCCTCCCCCCTCTGGTCACCTAGCTGCCATAGCACTAGGGCAATAAACCTTGGAAAGTAAAGGAAAAAGAAAAGAAGGAAGGAGGGAAGATGGAAGTGAGGAAGGGGAAGGCAAGGCAAAGGAAAAAAAAGTAGACTCAGGTTTAGATTCAGCTGCCCAGAGTAGTCAGTTGACTTGATGAGAGGGGTATAAAATAAATAAATAAATAAATTAGGGACGAGAGGATTCAAACAGCAGCAAGTTTCTGCACAGTCCTTCTTCTCTTCCTGCTACTGTTTCTGGGTGGAATAGCTTCAAAGAGATGGCTACAAACTCCTCCATATTGGCTCATGTAATCACACCACCTGAACTAATTTGAGTACACTTGATTTAAAAAAATGTAGAAGCCCCATTGGTGGAGGAAAAAGCTACGGATCAGGGAGAAAAACTCCAGACTGATTTGCATTGGCAAATGTAGTACATTAAATGGGAAATCTGGTCATCCCAGTTCTAGAGCATTTCTGGTACTATTTATTAATGTAATCACCACATTAATAAACAAAGGCATGTAAACAATCTCAAGGTTAGCAGGATATAAAAGCTCCAGGGGAAGATCTCAGTCCTCAGAAGTTCAATCCCATCTCTGAGAATAATAAGCCGACACCCTCAAACCCAACACAGTGCCTTATCTTCCCCTCATTTCTTTACTTTTGTTGCATTTCTCTCCTGTCCTCCTCCCCAAGGCTTCACACAAGATAAGGAGTGTGCTCAAGGCCCTTTTGTAGTTTCTTTAAAATGGAATGGGGGACCCAGCTTTTGAATTTCCGGACTCTGATCAAAAGCTATTCACTGCGCTTTTACAACTGACGGGAGGCTGCCACTAGTGTCTGCCTCTGCTTCCAAAGCAGCCATGTTGAAAGGTGATTGGAACTTGAAGAAAGAGCTTCCAATGTACAGTTTCAATGTCTAGGAAAAAGATTATATGTTTTTATGGTTCTCAATCCTGCACAACTTTCCTTAATGGAAAGCTAGCATATGAGAGACTAAGGCAAAGAACATGTGGTGCCCTAGATATTACTGGGTTGTACTTCCCATCCTTGCTAATCAGCATACCCAATGGTGTAGGATGATGGGAACTGCAGTCCAGTAACATGTGAAAGACCTCATCCCTAAGCTAGACCATTTGTCTTCGATGGACGAGTCAGGGCCATGCTGCTCTAAAGATGCCCTGCACCAGGTAGATATCAACGGCGCCATTTTCTTTTCTTTTTGGGAGAATGGACTAGGGGGATCTAAATGCCAAGGCAGGAGAGTAGCAGGTTATAGAGGAGAATTGGACTTCTATACCATGAATAGTTTTATAGAAAAAGACATTTCAGCAGCTGTAGCTTTTGTCACCGATGTGCTACAAGCAGAACCAGCCGGCATTCCTTGTCCAAGGTTAGAGGGACAAGTGCCCTGACACTTGCAGGTGGTCTCCTCTGAGAAAGGAGAAAGCTAGAAAAGAAAAACACATCTGAATTAATCTCAGGCTTCACCTTATGGTTAGTGGCATTAAGTGTCCAATGAACCGAGGCTCTATTTTTAATCTTTGCTGGGTTTATTTGCAAGCTTGCTGGTAAGGTAAAACAGTAGCCTGCCTCCACTCCTACACATTACAAGGGTTACAAGATCTCAGTCATGGTGGGTCTTCAATCTGAAAAACAGGTAACTGGAGGGCTACACTTCTCCCCAAGAAATGCAGCTTTGGGTGGAAGGGGAAGAGTTTTTAACAGGCACAAGCTTTCCAACATAAAATCCTCAACTACCAGCAGGGTGACTAGTAACACTCAAGCGAGGGCTCTACTACCATCTGTTGCTTGTCTCTGCAAGTTTGAGCTGGCTCTTGGACTCAACTGTTCAGGCTTCATTTCATGGCTAGTGTTAAGTTTCCGGTTGGCCGAGGCTCTATTTTTATCTTAGCTGGGTTTATTTGCAAGTGTGCAGGTGTGGTAGAATAGTTGCATGCCTCCACTCCTACTTTACTTTATTTAGACTTATACCCCGCCCCTCTAGACAAAGTCTACTCGGGGCGGCTTACAAAAAATGATAAAATACAATAGAATAATATACTTACTAAAACCTAATAATACAACCAACTAACTAGTAGATATACAGATTAGGCGGCTTATAGGTCTCTCTTGATCAGGAACAGTACCTTGCTTTTGTAATACAACCAACTAACTAGTAGATATACACTGTACCTTGCTTTTGCCAACTCTCTCTCTCTCTCTCTCTCTCTCTCTCTCTGTGTGTGTGTGTGTGTGTGAGAGAGAGAGAGAGAGAGAGAGAGAGCAAGGCTTAAACAGCTAAACCATTTAGAAAACCAAATTCTTTGCTGGGATGGAAAATGTTTGGCCCTCCAGCTCCTATCAGCTCCAGGCAGTCCTGTCAAAAGTAAGGGATTGTGAATGATGTATCAGGATGGTCCAACTTTTCCCATCCTCCCCTCTGCCATATTGTTCGAACAATCTGTTCTAACAGACAAAGTGTCCTCAGTTCTTGGCTGTAAGATGTGCTGTTCCAGAAGAACGTGAATTATGTGTACAGCCATATAACAGCTTCTAGGCATCTACATTTTGTTGTATGTGTTGGGACTTACTTCTGAGTAGCCAAGCACAGGACTGGCTCATGAGTTTTAGTTATATTTCTCTATCATTAGGACATCTTACAAAAAGTCAGATAAAGCACTAACAATGTACCACCATTTTTAAAATCAGCAAACAAGCCATAAGACATTAAAAGAACATAAAGAAGTGCCAATTCTCAGCGGGTGTCACCTCAGCCTTGCTTTTTGGTTCTGCTTGGCTATTTTCGATCTGTTGGTGGAATCCTGCTCCAAATCATGTCTTATCTGAAGGCCAAATTAGCTTTTCCTGGGAGCAGGGCCTTTACAGTAGCTGCACCACTCCCCTGAAAAAGATTTGGTTGCAACCTCCTCCTTCTTTTCCCCCCTCCAGGCAGCTTTTCAAATATATCTATTTCAGAAGCCCATTTGCCCTGCTTGCCAGCTACCAATAGCTTTTCAGGCTGCTCCTTTTGCTCAAATTGTTTTTTATTTGCTGGTAATGTGTATCTAATTCTATAATTTGCTTTGGTGGTATGTATGTATTGCTATAAACCACTGTGAACTGTTTTTTTAAATGAATTGTAGTTTACTGGTGCTTTAAAATAACATTTAAAAAAGGAGAAGAAGAAATTGTTCGAGGGTGGGATTGCAAAATCAGCTGAGTACATTTCCTTCCGTCCCCCATCCCTTCCACCATCAAACCCTGGAACACAGCAGGGCTGGCTCTGCGTCTTCCAGCAGATTGAAGATCAAGGAACAAGTTGTCTTGGCAACCAAAGTAATAAGTAACCTTCCCTCTGCTTGCTTGCTTGCTTGCTAACTAATCTAGTTTCCTGGTGCTACCAGCATTTCCAGGGTGCCTGCCTGGATAACAGGTGTTGGGTGAATGCAGGGAGATGAGACATGACAAAAAGCCAAAGTCTTTTTTCACCAAGTGAGAAAGGAGAGGCCCTCCCTGCCGTCTGTTCTGTGTTGTTTCTCTCCTGGAAGAGTGTCTCCGAGTGGGTGTCAGCTTGGGCTTTACGCGTTCTGGGTTTAGACTTCCATGCAAACGTTGTGGTACCCTAAGCCTGCCTTTGTAGAGATCCGTTTCTTGCAGTGGAAGGTCATTGAATGTCAGGAAACAAGAAAATAAAAGTGATGTGCCTTTGATAATATGACAGTTTAAATGACAGCCTCCCCTCTGTAGCTGTTTCTTGCTGCTGCCTGGTAAATTGATTGGTCAGACAGCCAGGGGCAGGACACCCACCTGGTTTACAGAAGGCAGGAGGAAAAAAGTGTTCCTGGGACCAGAACAGTCCTTGAAAAGTTATTTTTATTTAACTCTAGTTCCAAGATTGGGAGTTGGGATACACATCTTCATCAGCTTCTTCAATCTTTATACCAAATCGATTTTATCACTAAACTTATGTCTAAACTTGTCACAGCTAATTATGGCTAACTGATGAGGTGAGGGGGTATATCTCAATCACGTGGCTAGCTGCACACCTGATTGTACAACCAGCACCTTGTCAGTTAGCTGCAATTATCCCTGACAAGCTAAGCATACCTTATTCAAACACCAGTAAGATTCGAGATTACTGCTCTAAAAACCCTCTCTAAAGATGCTGCTTTTGGAGATCTTGATGACATTGACTTGCAGGAGGTGAAAATTTGAATTCAGATCTTAAAACAGGCTTCAGCAAAGTTTCCCCTGAAATAGCTTGTAGAACTGGCTCCAGATTCCTGCTTGAACCCAACTCTGCTGACTCATCTAAGTGGAGTGGAAGAGTCCACTTGGACTTTAAGGTCTAATTATCAGGTCTCCCTGTCTTCTGGGAAAATGCAGTAACTGCACATTTTTGAGCTCAGTCTCAAACTGTTCATATGAGGATTCAATTAAAATAAAAAAGAGAAAGTTTCTGGCTCTTGCAGTTACACAACATCTAGTTCAATTTTGTTTTATCCAATTTTACTAATTACATTTATATCCCATTTTCCTCCATTTTCTTTATTGGAACATGGATCTCACAGGTGCTTGTTTCTAACCACTGCTCTGCATTCCCTCTCAATACTCCACCCAAGTTTGTTTAGATATTTCAGGGGTCAGGATTCAATGCACAGAGGAGTGCCTTCCTTTTCCTCTCTATGATAAACAGAGACAAAATACTGTAATACAGATCTTTTTTAAAAAAACAAGGATAAATACGTCAAAATATGTTTATCAGCATAATGGCATGCAAGTCAAGAGTCAGCCTTTGTTTGAAGAACAACGGCTTCCCCTCAGTGCAGACATTTCTGGCCATCGTGGGCAAGTGTTGCCAGTCAGAGCTGCAAATCTATCCACCACCACCCCATCCCTCAGGAGTGTTAAGAAGGGATTTGCGCTCTCCTTGGGCTGCCCAGGCCCTCCGGCTGATGGGGTTCTCCTTCTTCTGCCTCTGCTGCAGGTGGCAGTGCCTGACTTGCTGAAGGCTTCGGCGGATGCTGACATCCTCATCTTTGTAGTGCCCCACCAGTTCATCGGGAAACTCTGCGACCAGATGAAAGGCCGCATCAAGAAAGATGCCATAGGGGTCTCACTCATCAAGGTGTGTTGGGGGGGGTGGCTGGGGCACCTGGCGGGGAACACATTCAGACAGCTCCAAGGCAGGGAGAGGGTGGCCGGAGGAGCCCTGACTGTTTATTGGAACTTACTGGGAGAGGTCTGAGGAAGATTACTTCAGCATGCAAGAATGTACGGCTCCTTTTTTGCAGTATAGAACAGATGTGGAAGGGGTCCAGAGCTTTAAAGGTTAATTCAGAAAAGCAGTTAGCTAGTGCCACTCAAGTAGTTTGTTGCCAACATGTTGCTGTGTTTGAACTATACAAAGTACTATGGCCTTGTGGGACATAACTACGGTAAGTAGTGAGGCCATATACATGTTGTAATTTAACTTCTTGTTAAAATACAGGTGCATTGAAATTTTGTTCTGCCTTAGTTATAGCAGAAAATAATTGACTACAAGTCAGTGTTGTCTGTAACTATTTGCCTGGAATAGACAATAGACTGGAAAAGAGTACAGGACAGCAACAGCCCTGGTTTATTCAAAGAACTTGTGACACATGGCAATACAATTGGCTGAGTTTCCCGGAAGTCATCACCATCTGCCATTTATAGGGCTCATGCGTATGTGCGTGCGTGTGTTTAAACTCTCCTGCCATCTTCAAAGCATCAGGCAGATAAAGAAGCTCTATTTGCTGAATAGCCCTTACTTGAGACAGGATTTATAGATCAATTGTTGGGTTTGTTTGTTTGTTTGTTGGACCTCTTGAGATGCACAAGAAATTGGTGCAAAAAATTCACCTGGAACAGCTTTTTGCCACATGGTGCCCTCCAAGCAGATGGAACTGCAAGACCCATCATCCCTAGCCATTTAACCATGAAAGCAGAGGATGATTGGAATAGTAGCCACATGCTTGCCACAAAGCGGCTACAGGTCTGCAGTCATGGATTTGACACTTTCTTAAGGGAGAGGGGCACTAGGCTTGGAGTAATTTCTGTTGCCTCTAACAACTGCAACAAACCAGTGTTTTATAATGTGTCTTATGAACTGTTCCTGTCACATCCCAATGAGTGTGTGGAGGGAAAACAGTAAAGCCTATTGAATGAGATGTATTCCTCAGTCATGGCAGGGATTTTCCTGCAGAGGCAGCCAAGGATCCTCTTAAGTCTTTTTGCAGAACAGCAGGATGGCTTGTGGAATGAGTAGGGTGCACACACACCCATTCCAGGGACAAGCTGCCCCAGAAGACAGTCAATGATGTGTTGGAACACACAGTGATGCCTGCTATGAAGCAGTGAAATCGGCTGGTTGTGCCATTCCTGTTGCATCTTCAAGGAGCCCAGTAGCATAGCTTTTAGGGGAGGTTCTGGGGTTGTCAATGTTCTCCCCAAGAAATGGAGCACCAGTCTTCTTGAGGATGCGCTGCAACTGGTTTGCAAATCAGTGTTGGAACACACAGTGATGCCTGCTATGGAGCAGTGAAATCAGCAAAGAAGGCTGGTTGTGCCATCCCTGCTGCATCTTCAAGGAGCCCAGTAACATAGCTTTCAAGGGAGGTTCTGGGGTTGTCAACGTTCTCCCCCAAGAAATGGAGCACCAGTCTTCTCGAGGATGCGCTGCAACTGGTTTGCAAACTCTCTCTTGGGGGACAACATTGCTGGCTTCTGCAACAAAGTGGGAGCTTGACACCAATCTTGAAGGATCGGTTCTGGCTTTTGTGGCCTCATGTCGTGGACAGGACATTTGTAGTAACACAACCAGCTACATGCCTTCTCATTCCTTGCTGTTCTTCGCAGCTAAAGCCAGCACCCCCAGGGGCTGATGGGAGGCTTGTAGTTCCAAAGGATGGCCGACAAATGTTTGCATGGCAGGGTGATGCTTGCTACCCTTAAGGAGGAAGCAGTCAAGCCACTCCGGGTCTGATGGTCTTATCTGGTTGGCTTTCAGGGGGTGGATGAAGGCCCTGATGGGCTGAAGCTGATATCAGATATCATCCGTGAGCAGCTAGGCATCGAGATGAGCGTTTTAATGGGGGCCAACATCGCCAATGAAGTGGCTGAGGAGAAGTTCTGTGAGACCACCATCGGTAATGTGTTTGAGCTGACTATGATGGGGAAACTGTAGTAGTGGAGACAAGACAGTATTCTGTGCATGCTCACTGGGTGTCCTTCCTCTCAGTCTCCTGACATGTTCACCCACCTCGCCTTGCTTTCCACGGGGATTTACTGTCGCAAAATGTTTTTGGTCTGCTGCTGCTTTGTTGAAGATAGTGGTAGGCAACTTAAGGGCAGCCTCTCCGGCCTCTCATAAGGGGCACACAAAGGCCAGAAATCGCTATCTTTGGCCCATGGGTTGGTGGGGAAGTAAACTGAAGGCACCTCTCATTCAGAATTTTTCATTCAGAACAAACACCTTTCATTCAGTTTTTTAACATTTTATTTTAAAGTATTAGGTGAAGTCTTGGATCCCCCACTTTCGAGTCCCTGATACAAAAGAGTGCTCCTAGAGGACATCAGGTGCAGAAATTGATAAAGTTTTACAAAACATTTTTTTAAAAACCATTTCCCCTCTTAAAAATGCTTCTGAGAATAGGGCTTGCATGTCTCACTTTGCCCACATCACATCTAAGACCAGTTTACCATTAATTATATATCAACTGGCCATTTTTGTCAAAAATATGGATAGTAAGAATCTAATCCTGGACATAAGAGATGTACTTTCAGTGCAACAGGTAAGGAAAGGGCTTACTTGTTGCACCTGTTGCTTTTCCTGCCCCATTTGCTTTAATTCCTATCAGCCATTTTCCTCCCACAACTATTGTGGTAAGTGGGGATCCCAGTGTGTCAAGCAGCTGGTAGGAACTGAATAAGAGGACCAGGGAGGTAAGAAGCTGAATCCAGTTTGTCCCCTTGCATTGCTCCATGACAACCATCTAGGAGAAGAGGTGGCAGAATTCATGAATGAGCAAGAGAAGTTCATTCATGCCTACCTACACACTTCTTGAAGGAGGATTGACTGGGGTGTGGATCCCTTGGGTGTACACAAGGATGTGCAGTTGTTATTGCATAGCTGCAACAGCAAACACCCAATACTGTAGCAAGCACAGCTGCCATGTAAAGGGGTAAACTGCTCCAAGACTATTTGCCTATCTGGAAGAGCCATTGTTTCACTCCTCTTCTGCAGATCCAGTTGAGGGAACAGCATAGAGAAAAGATGAGCATGCAGCAAAAGGGAACACAGAACTGGTGGTTCCAAAAGAAGTGTAGGGAAGCCCAGGTCAGAGCACTTGTTCATCTAGCCTAGTATGGCCTGCCCTGTGTGGTAGCAGCTTCCCAGCAGTAGAGGTGCCTGTTTTTTTCTGTCATTTTCTATCCAATCCTTTTAACTGGAGATGCCAGGGACTGGACCTGGGACCTTCTGCCCACAAAGCACCTGGTGGACTGTGGCATCCACCCTCGTGCCCCTTTTGCTTGACCTTCAAGCCTCACAGCACACGAAGGCAAACACCCTCTTCTTTTACACTTGCTGCCACCAGGTGATCTCTAAATCACCATTACTTCAGAAAGATTCAGGTCCACACTTCAAGTTCTTTTAAATAAAACTTTGGTTTATTGATTACAGAGATTCACAAATACCTTCAGTAGCTAATCACACCTAAATTTCCCAAACTACACTATTACTCTGTCTGGCTTTTCTCTCCTGCCTGACTCTTACATTTCTCTAACTAACTGACTGACTGACTCAGGCTCCGCCTCTTATAGCATCTCTCTCGGCTCCGCCTCTCAGCAACATGAATATTCATAAACCATTATATTACATAACAAACATAAACCATTACATAATATAACATAGACCATAGATCAAATAAATAGAGAACGCTAAATAGACAACTAAGGGAAGTGCAGATTCTCCTTGTCTGAAGTCCTGTGTTCCACCCAGTGTAAAAAGGACCCCTTGGGTCTACGTATTAGGTCACCAGCAAACTTTCCTTGACTTGGATTATTAACTCAAGAATATTCCAGATTCTCAGCTGAGAATTATTATCAACATTTCCCAAAGGTAACTTTCTAGTTTGTTTTAGCAGAAGCAACCAAGAATATCATGGCACCTTACAGGCTCTTAGACAATGCAAACCAAAAAGAGACCCTACTTAGAATGCAAGGAGAGGACGCTGAGCATCCCAAGAATTTGGCATGAGAAACATTTGAGGTGCACGAGCTGAGAGTTTTCCTGTCACCACCACCATCTCTGCTGAAAAGCGCTCTTAAGTAAATAACCATATGGGAGCGGTTGCCCTTTTCCAAGGGAAGAGTTTGTGGCTTAAGGATGTCGCACATAGTTTGCATGCAAAGTCCCAGCCTCAGTTCACAGTACCACCAATTCTTCCTCACCCTGGCACCCTGCAGATAGGTGGGACTTCAGCATCAATCATCCACAGGGGCCAGAGACAATCGGAGCTGTAGTCTGACACACTGGAAGTGTCTCAGGCTGGACAAGGCTGGAAAAGGCTCTCAAATAGCAGGATGGGGAGAAAATCCCTTGGTTGAAGGCCACTGTCCCTCAAGCATAGCAATTCTGAGCTACATGGAGTGGTTCCATACATGTGTCCTTGTTACATGATGACAGAACTGGCCCCTTTTCCTACTTACGCGCATACTTTCTTGCCATTCTGCAGGCTGCAAGAACCTAGGGCATGGACAGATCCTGAAAGAGTTGATGCAGACGCCCAACTTCCGAATCACGGTGGTGGAAGAAGCAGACACGGTGGAGCTCTGTGGTGCCCTTAAGGTGCAGGAACAACTTGGCCCTGGGCAGTTTACCCCCCCCCCTTCTGGTGGAGGCATGGCCTCTTGGCAGCAGAAATCCTGGGGCAACAAACCTCTGCAACTTCCCTGAAGACCTTTGTCCAAAAACATCCTTTCCCAACTCATGTCCTCCAGGTGTGCTGGACTATAGTTCCCATCATCCCCGTTCAGCTTGTCCAATGGCTGGAAATTACAGAAGTTGTAATCCTGCACATCTGGAGGAAACACTGGTCCAAGTTCCCCTTCCAGCACCCTCCCCCCAAGAGAGAGACATGGACTGTGTGAAAAACCATACTGTTTTGCCAGGAAAAGGAGTGGATTTGAGAAAAACTGGGATGTGGGTTTCGCTAGTAAAAGGTGCTCTAAGCTAGGCTTGCTGGGAGGAGCTGGGTTTTACCTGTCATCTTGGCAAGAGATGGGCCAAACTTTCTACATCTGCTGGGAACACTGGCTGGTTGCACATCTGCACTTTAGCTGCATAGTTTCTCAGCTGCTTTTCGGAGGTAGCCTAGGGTAAAATCTTGTTGGCGAATGACAGGTGGACTTCCTCTTTCTTCCCCAGAATGTGGTGGCTGTCGGGGCCGGCTTTTGCGACGGACTGGGCTTTGGCGATAACACCAAGGCTGCCGTCATCCGCCTGGGCCTGATGGAGATGATTGCCTTTGCCAAGCTTTTCTGCAAGGGTTCTGTCACTTCGGCCACTTTCCTGGAGAGCTGCGGGGTTGCTGACCTCATCACCACCTGCTATGGAGGGCGGAACCGCAAAGTGGCAGAAGCTTTTGCCAAGACTGGAAAGGTAAGCGAGCCTCCGTGGCCTGCCCTAGGGTTCTGTATGGTTGCCAACTATTTCCCCAAAGTGCTCCGTTCTTAGAGTCCCATATTTCATATCTGAAAATGCTTCAAATGTCAGTTCATCTGCAAGGGAAATCGATGCTATTTCCAACCATTGCAGGTGAGGACTAGTTGTGGGTCGAAGACTATCAAGGAAAGTTTGTGGCAGGAGCAAGACTGGAACTGGAAATGTTCTGGTTTACAGTTCAATTTAAGGCAGCAACCCCATATAGACTTGGCTGGGAGTGACCCTGGCGGTCTACATCCACTTGATTGCCCACCTACCATATTTTTCCGTGTATAAAATTGACATTTTTTCCTTAAATAATTTGAGAAAAAATTGAGGGTCATTTTATACATGGAAGGCAGCTCTTTACTGCTGCCTTTTGCGAAGGCATAGGACTTAGCAAAAAGGAAGGGGAGGCATTTCTCTCTTCCTTTTTGCCAAGCTCTGTGCCTTCTCAAAAGGCAAGGAAAAGCGGCAGTCACTTTGACAGCTGCTTGCCTTGCCTTTTGCCAAGGCACAGGGCTTAGCAAAAGGGGAGCTATTTCATCCCTGATTTTTCTAATTTGGGGTCGTCTTACAAACAGAAAACTACGGTAGTCACTAGGCTGTCCTAGCTCCCAAGCAGCCAAAGTAACCACTTTAGTATTTACATGTGTCCATCTAATAACTCTAGCTTTGCTTGGAGGGAGCTGATCCGCCTCTTCCTTTTCTCTGTGCCAGTGGCCAGGACACACAGTGGCCCTCCCAATATTTTTTGGACCCCAGCTCCTATCACTCAGGGGGCTACAAACCAAGCCTTATGAGGAATGGCTGAAAGAACTGCCTTGAGAAAAGAAGGCTGAGGGGTGATATGATAGCACTTTTCAAATATTTGAAAGGCTGTCGTACAGAGGAGGGGCAGGATCTGTTCTCGATCATCCCAGAGTGCAGGACACGCAACAATGGGCTCAAGTTAAAGGAAGCCAGATTTCAGTTGAATATCAGGAAAAACTTCCTAACTATTAGAGCGATACAACAGTGGAACCAGTTACCTCGGGAGCTGGTGAGTGCTCTAACACTCGAGGCATTCAAGAAAAACTTACTTGATGGCCTTGTAGGCCCCTTCCAATTTCACTTTTCTGTGATTCTATGATTCCTGAGAGCAGTTGACAATCCAGCAAGACTTGGTCATTTTCCATCCCTGCTCAGGACAGATGCTTGCCCTAACTGATGTGACACACTGGCTGCAACGGGGTTAATCTAATGTGCATTCTCATTGGACTTTTAATAGGTTGTATACAGCAGTGGAAAACAGACATCAGAAACTAGTCTCCATGCTGGTTTTAGATTACTGAATGGGATGGTTGAGGGTTGAACTAAGAGCTTCGAACAGAACAGTGAATGACTGTAGTTCAGTACCCAGAATCAGAAAACCAGAACAGAATACCAATGCTTAGAGAGGGTTTGACACACTCTAGCCTTTCTAACAGCTTATACTATTCACAGCACATAGTCCAAAATGGGAATGGACTACTTGTAGCCCTCTGTATAGTTTCTGGGCTACAACTCTCATAAATCCACAGCATAGATTGCACTGGCTAGGACTGACAGGAACTGCAGTCCAGCTGACAGAGTGCCACATATTTCTCAGCCGTATAATTCCTGAGCATCTGCAGCCAACATTTTAAAATCTGAAGACTAGAGTATATGAGGCAGAACTGACATTACTGGGAAGTTGAAATACAGAAAGAGGCACAAAGAGCTTGAAGAGTGCATGTGGGACAGAAGCAATGGATATAAAAAAGCAGCTAAGAGCAACGCCAACAGAAATTCAGCTACCTAGCAAGCACAATGATGCCTCAAGAGAGCAATCATGAGCAGGATGGAATGAAAGGTCTATCACTTGTAGTCTGCAAATCCTCACAGAGATCATTCTAGGAAAGGGATGATCAGCTTTCAGAATTTTTCAGATCTATTTTGGTTTTTTTTGTACTAAAACAATATCAGGATCCAGCAACTAACTGGAGCTGGGGTGTGCATGCATAAAATTTCAGAACAGCTTACATTTAAGAATGTTCTGAAAGCCAAGAAAATTTTTTTTTGAAGAACCTGGCCTGACCTGTCAGTCCTTTCACACAAGAGGTCCACTCTCAGTTATCTAAATATTTTGGCTGTCTAGTTTGAGTAGAAATAGAATTTTATTACTGCTGTTGCTTTATAGGGTGCCAGTCAGAAGCACTTGGAGAGAGCTACTGTAAATCATCCAGAGATTGACAAGCAAATACTGATCTACTACTTGTTCACAACTGTATTAGAAACATCTGTTTCTCAGCCAAGGATGTTCCAATCCTGTCTTCAGAATGTTGTTCTTATTAACAGCTGTAATGCTTGTTTTCACTGAAACACTGGATTCTACAAAATCTGGAATATTCTGGCGAAAACTAAGGTAGCAGAGAGTAAGGTCCCGGAAGAGAACCCCAGGACCTGGGAGCACAGCTTAAAGGAGCCTGACATTCAAGCTGACCTGAAAGAGGAAGTCATTCAGGCACTATTTTTAGAGGCAAAGTGAGATAGTATGGTATCCAAATGGCATCCCGCAGGATCCCTTGCAGTGTTGGAGAGGATGCTGGGAAGCATCTTTCATGCTATCTGTGAAGATTCTCAGTCATCCAGGTGTGGATGACTGAGAATCTTCACAGTCTGAAGAAGCTACTTGGACGAGTAGCGAAACATTTCAACCTAACAAGAAAGAAGTCCATGACTCTGCTTCCAGAGATCTTTCATGTTGTGTGCAGCGAGTATCTTCTCTGGCTTTGTGGGATGGAAAAATCCTGTAGCACATTTTCTCCTCTCTACAACTGATGCAGAATCCACCTTGGGCCATTTTTCCAGCTCCCTTCTCTAATGCTAAGCAGACCTAGACTCAGCCAGGACCCAAAAGTAGAGAAATGCCACACTTAACGCCACCTTCCATGGCAGGGAGTGCATCCAGACCACACATTTAGGCTGGCATTATACCACTTATTTCAATATGAGCTTTCATGGATCACAATCCAATTCTGCTGAATCTTCCACAAAATTCATGGGGGAAAAATCTGTTCTTCCACCAGGCTCTATTGTTTTTGCTTTTATTATTATAAAACGGACTAATATGAATACATATTTGAAAGTGAGAATTGATAAGGATTCCAAGAATGAACTGCTAGAGAGCACATGTATGCACACACTCTTCCTCACTTAATTATAGTTCATGAGGTTGCCCAAAAGGGAAAAAAGACGTGTCCCAGGACAGAAGTCAAAAGGGTAGACGTGTCCCAGGACAGAAGTCATAACAAGAAAGGCCTAGTGGTGATTGTGATGGTGGGGAACCGTTCTGACAGATTTCACCTAAGGTGGAGAGGAAGGGCTAGCTAGGCATCATGACCCAGCCATTCACACTTATCTCTTACCTTTCACAGTCTATCGAGCAGCTGGAGAAAGAGATGTTGAATGGACAGAAGCTCCAGGGCCCCCAGACCTCAGCAGAGCTGAACCACATCCTCAAAAACAAGAAGTTGGTAGACAAGTGAGTCCTGTTATTGTTCTGCCATTTTGCTTAGCATCCATATCTACTGACACCAGGCAAGGTTGCATGGACCCAGGAGTTTATATGCTGGACTGTTAGCCAGCTAAACAATATGGAGGTGGCTAACCACCTGCCTTTCAACCGATGTATGAATAAACCACTTGGATACCTTTCTGCCCGAACAAAAATCTCAAGACATGGCATTGTCGGCATTGTCTGAAACACTGAAAGAAGTATGAATCAGCTTTCCAATTAATAGCAAAAGCCACCTTTTGTAAGTAGAAGGGAATGTTACCTCTAACATTTGCTTCTTTAGACCCTATTACAGTAGCATGCCAGAACCAAAACAGTCTCTCTCTCTCTCTCTCTCTCTCTCACACACACACACACACACACACACACACACGGAAGGAAGATGACCTCGTCAATGAAAACTCACCCTGTTCTTCTCAGTCAACTAAAACTAAGAAAAGCAGGGGTTGAAACTAGTGCTGGGCAATGTATGGCCTTTGAAAGATGTGTTGGACACTATCTCCCATCCTAGCTAGCATAGCCAGTGGTGAGGGATGATGAGAGTTGTAGTCCAATAACAATTGGAGGCCCACAAGTCCTCCCTCCTTGCTTTCAGCCAATTAGCACTCATTGCTTTATTGATGGGAATTCTTGAAGCAACAGTGGTTCACTGACCCTTCAGAAGTGGGACCCCCGTATGATTAATTGACAATAAGACTTTCCGAAGCAGCTTGTCCCCAAGACTGTCCCCTTGACTCTACCCACACTCCACCCAGCACAGCAGGCTTCCAATTCCTCTTCCTCACAAGCTCTCCTACTGTGGTGGCTGTTACCTAGTTTTTCTCTATTTTTATCTGTTTCTGCAGGTTCCCACTCTTCACTGCAGTCTATGAGATCTGCTATACAGGCAAACCCGTCACTGAGTTCATCACATGCCTGCAGAACCATCCTGAGCATCTGTGATGGGCCACGAGTCTTGCTCCAGCACATGAAGGGATGGGAGGATCTCTCCTGCTGCAGTCGCACCCCTCCTCACCATGAGGAGAGGGACCCAATACAGGGCAACAGGACAATCAGCAGGAGGCCTTACATAGGACACACTGTGGCTACCAGTCAGGGAGTTCCTGGCTCAGCTCCTTGACCAGGGAGCCCCTGCCATTTGCCAACCCAACTCTACCTTGGAAGTCCACAGTGTTGCCTTGGATTATCTAGTCCCCAGCTTGACTCTTGTTAAATTTAGATCAACCCCAGCACTAAAACCATCCTCCTTCTCGGAACGCGCACATCAGGCAAAGCTTTGGCTTTTATCTTCCGCTTTCACGCCCAAACTCTCGTCTCCTTGCCCTGCCTCATCCCCACTCCAGTTCTTGGCTTCTGTTTTTTAACTTTTCCATTTGAGGATTCAAACTATTCCGTGCCACTTTTACCTGCCTTAAGAGATGGTTAAAGCCAGTTTCTAGCAAAGAGGGGGGAGTAAACACCAGTGAATCCTTCCCAGGCCTGGGATGTAAGGAGCATTATAACAACCAGCACTCAGCTAGGGCTGAGTTCCCCTTCACTTTATTTTCTGTAAACATGGCTTGGCCGCAGCATCCCTGGTATCCACAGGAGCGGGAACTCTAGCCATGAATGTGAATGTATTTTGGAATAATAAACACTAAAGTGAGAAACTAATCGTTCTCACCAAAAGATTTGATTTCTGGCCTCTGGGTTATGTACTGGCTGAGATCAAGAGCAAGATAACATTGATTTTAACTCAGCAGTGGGGGTTTTAGATCCTATACTATTTGGAGATGGGGGGGGCTCGAGGTAGTGGGGCAGTCTGCTCCTTTCACTAGACCCTTTCCTGCCCACCACCGTAGCCAGGTGCTTGCCCTCATTCTGGCATGACCTTTTCATGCCGGTCGCCTGGCCTGCCCCCCCCCTTCATCCAAGAGCAATTTAATCTGCTGCTGCTGCTGCTGCTGCAGGAGACCTTGTGCCTTTTATTAGATACTCAGAATCAGGCGACGTCCTGTGACCTTTCTATTTAGCCAGCTAGAAAAAAGAAGCAAATTTAAAGGATGGGGAAAGGTTCCCTATGCATTTCATAGCCAGAGCTGACACTGGGTGGCCACTTCTAGTACTATGGCCATTCCTAGTACTACTTGTAAAAATGGACCATTGATTTACAAGCCAAATATTTCTGCACTGCAGGCCAGCTTTTGGTGTGAGTTTATACCAAGTAATGGAGAATTCCACCAATAATATTTGATTGACAGGATGCTCCTTTTCTTGCAATTGGATTATTAAAACCTTTAAATTACAATCCACCCCAAGTTAAACTCTTTGACATATTACCGGCTTCAGTTAAGCTAATGAGACGGGAACATGCTTAATGTTGGCTGAACGGTGCTCAGAGTTTGGGCGTTCTGGACATTACAGTTTAAAACAAGGATTGTGGAAGTGTGGCCTTCTAGATGTTGCTGGACTGCAGCTTCCATGAGCTATCAACCAGCACAATTGATAGAGGGGAATATTTATTAATTACAAGTATTTAAAATATTTCTATGTCTCCTTCCTCCCAAAAAGGACCCAAGAATATTTGGAATTACAGTCTAAAAGCATCTAGAGACTCACATGTTCCTTATTGCTGGTGTACAATAATGAAGAGTACAAATGGGGAGAAAGGCTATGTATAACGCTCTGAATTCCTTAGAGGAGGTAGCTAACAGAAACAAGAAAAACTAATAAATAAATAAAAGCATGACATATTGCTGAAGAGCTCAGTGGTCGAGGTCTCTGGCTGCAGAGCTAGAGGCTGGGAGTTCGATTCCCCACTGTGCCTTCTGGACAGAGGTTGGACTCGATGATCCATAGGATCCCTTCCAACTCTGCAGTTCTAAAATGATGATGATGATGATGTTGACGATTAAAAAATGATGATGATGATGATGATGATGTTCACGATTAAACAGATGCATCTGCAACATAAAAATATTTATAACACTACACATATTTTCAGTATCTCAGTATAGAAATAAGTTTTCTAGGTGGCAGGAAAATAACTTCCATTTGAAATGAAAGTTTCCAAAATCCTTCAGTAGTCTGCTCCAATCACTAGGCTGAAAGGAATAATGTTAATACTATGAATAAACATTTTCCAGTATACAAACTGAGTACTTAGTAAGCAATAATGCACATTATTTAACATTTTCCAGTATACAAACTGAGTACTTAAGCAATAATGCACATTTTACCTCTAATTTTAGCAGTGTAGGTGATGCTAAAGTAATTTTACCAGGGCGATCAGATGCAAAGGAGAAGCCTTGTATGTTGACCATGGTGTAGAAAATGAACTTTCAGTGTGTTTACTTGTAACATATACCAAATTATGAGCTACTCTTGCCTATAATGCCTTTTATACACCACCCTTAAAGGTGCAGGAACACCATTTTCACATCCAGTTACCTAACCATTAGCGGTACTGAACTCTATCAGCAGGTAGAAGAAAGTAATTTGGAAGCCGCATCTACTCAGGGAAAACTGGGTGTAGCTAAAACTGGGATTACTGCTCTCTGAAACTCTCCCAGGTTTAAATGACAATCTCCCTGCCCTTTTGCAGCTGCTATAAAAAGGCTCCCCTTTGCCATTTGGAGTTATGTTCTGCCAACACAGCAGCCGTTCTGCCTTAAGAAGCAAGGGATGGTCCAGCTGAAGCAAGAGTCTTTACAGGGATTTCAGACAGGAACAGGAAACATAGAAGATTCTCTGGTCCACAAGGGGTGGAGAGGAGAATGGTCTTTTCTCTCCACTTAGGAAAGACAGTTCCTCCAGCTTGCCGGTTACCAGAGTAAAGCTGTACAGCATACAATTTTTGCCATGCATAGTGCAACAAGGTTATGTTTACGTGGCAGGTGGGGACACATCTAGTGGAAACCAGAACTGAGGAAAATTTAAAATGTGGAAAATTTAAAAGTCCAACTTCATGGCAGCTGTATCCAACATGAAAAGCAAGCTGTAGACTTGTATTAAGAAATGGAGAGCAGTGCATCTGCCAAAACAGAGAGATGAGCACAAATTAATAGTAAATAGATCAAATTGTAAACACAGAGTAAGAATGTGGCTAGAAATTCTAGGACAAGATTTACTCTGCCCCTGCAGTTTGTGATGGAGGAGAGATGGAAAGGCCCATTGCCCTGATGTAACAACTAAAGTAGATCTCAAGTTTCCAAACTTCAGATTGGCATTCCTAAGGATGGAGTTCTGTACATATTTACCATGTTGTAAATGGAAAGCTGCAGTGTTTACTCTTCAACCAATATGCAGGGGACCAGCTGGCTGACTGAAATGAAGCATACAGGAATGAATCCTTTTGCCCCTTTCTTCTTTCTCCTCTCCACGTGGCTGCTGGATGTTGTCATGGCTATTCTGGCTCTGGATGCAGCAGCAGCAGCTTGAATAACAATGTTTTGTTGGCACCCAAACCAATCCTTAAGGCTTTTCAACTGCAGTTTGAAAAGGCGGCCTCTCTTTCCCTTCTGACGTTCCTTTTTCAGTCTGTTTTGCCTTGATGAACAGCTGCAACAATCTCTTCGTTTCTCATCCTGCAACCAAAGTGTTCTAACTTTCCCATCAACCAGCCACCTTACTATGTCCCAGCCAAATGCTGGAGCAGCCTCTCTTCTGGGCTAACTATGTATCTTGAGACTTATCAGGTTGCCCTGTGCTGGCAGGCTCAGCAAAATTTTTGGGTGACTATAAATAGCTGCCAGAGAACTGACAATTGAAGCCAGCACATCCTAACATGTGTTCCCCTCTACTCACTGAATCACAACAAGGTTCATCAAAACCTACAAGAACAGGTTTGGTCACGACCTTTTCTTGAGATGGAGGTGCCGGTTTTGACCTCTACGGAGGAAGCTATGACCAGGGCTGGAGGAGAGCTACTGTACTTGCTTGGCTTCTCAACAAGAAACTGTGAATCCTTTCTTGTAATTTGAATCCACTAGATCGGGTCTTATCTTCTGGAGCCACGAAAAGCAGGCTTGCCTCCATCCTCCACATAACTACCTTCAAATGGCGGAAGACAGTATTAGCTGCAAACAAATACTAAAACTAAAGAGTCAGGGGTTCAGTATTTGTTTGTTATGACTCAACAGAGGCATCTTTACCTTTACTATTCATTCACAAAAAAGGATTTTAACAGTTGTAGGATCTCTCAACTATATGCAGTACAGATTACAACTGCAACATCTACTTGATCCCACATTAACTCCATTAGATGTCTCTGTTACAGAGCTCCAATGCACCTCCCTGAACTTCAGGAAAGTATTCTGTTTGCCTGATGAAACTAAAGACCCCAGGTTCCACAGGACAAAACCATGGAAATTAAGGTGGCATCACACGGATAACTATGTAGCGCTGATGCACCGTATCATAGCAGGGAGTAGCAGTGTCCCTTGACAGACTATTTTTCTAGGGTTAGCTCATCAGGACAGCTGCTTCAACAGAACAGCAGATGACATCAAGTCACCCTTGACCAGGCCATTTATTTTGGCATTTGACACAGGAAATCCCACAGTCATTACTCTCACTTCCTGGTAGTAATGCAGCCAGTTGAATCCAGATTAATGCATGGTGGTCGATGGAAGCAAAGTCAAAATCAACAGAAAGTGGGCTAGTTTAATTCCCTACCTTCTCCCTTGTACAGTAATGGGCTACAATACAACCTGTTAACGTTTAACTGAACTGAAGAACCGACATTATGTCGGTTCTGTAGGCTCTTAAACTATTGTGCTTGATTCTCTGCTGGGAGAAAGAAAATGGCCTAATTATCCTTTCCAGCCATTAGCCCTAATCATCCCACTCACCCTAATACACAAGCCAGAACTGCTTCTGGAAATGGAAAGATCCCTTATGATGTGATCAGTCTGGATCCAACCCAGTAATAATAAATTGAGGCCAAAATCCTCTTAGCTTATAAGAGCACATAAGGGTCATTGCACACAGAATGTACTGCTTTCAGGACTCTCTTTCACCCCAATTGTGTGCTCAGTTACACAATGGTCAGCTGGAGAACAGCAATAAATAAGTAAATAAAAATACTTGTATAATTGCTTTTAGATAATCACTTTCCACAACAGGATACTGGCCTAAGTATCTGGGTAGTATCATATTGTGTTTCCATGGGGCTGGAAAATCTCACCAGCATAGTAGCACAAGATCTTGCCACACTTACAGGCATTATCATTGGCAAGTATACTTAGGAAGATGCAGTGTTTTTCTCCAATCTTCCACTATTTATCCATTACTGCTATTGGGGGCTGGATAGCTCAGTGAGTTATGTATCCAGCTGCAGAGCCAGTGGTTGGGAGTTTCCCACTGTGCCTCCAAGGGGGGGGGGAACCAGGCTGGGTAGCTTTGCACAACCTGCACAGTCAAAGGATACCCAAGAAGAATGGCCAATCA